AGTAGAACTGTCTTGATATTTGTGTTGGAGATTCTGACTTTGGTGTTGGTTGATAGTTGTTTTGAGTCCCAGATGTCCTTCAGTTGTAAATATACTGCTCTTGCTTTACCGATCCGCGCTTTCACATCGGCATCAGATCCACCATTTTCATCAATGATGCTGCCCAGTTATGTAAAGGGTTTTACATACTCCAAATCTTCTCTGTCAATTGTGATTGGATTGGTGCATGCGATGTTGTATGGGTGAGTCTTGCTTTTCCCTTTGTATATATTGAGACCTACTGCTGCTGAGACTGCTGCTACACTGATCGTCTTCTCCTGCATTCGTTGTTGCACTTGCGATAGGAGGGCCAGATCATCTGCGAAGTCTAGATCGTCCAGCTTCATCCTAGTTGTCCTCTGCACCCCATGTTTCCCTTCAGATATTGACGTCTTCACGATCCAGTCGATCACCAGGAGAAAGAGAAAGGGTGAGAGTAAGCAACCTTGCCTGACACCGGTCTTTACTTCGAACGAGTCTTTCAATTGTCCTCCATGCACGATTTCGCAGTTTAACCAATCATAAGAATTATGTATGATGTTGACTGTCCTCTGAGGCACGCCGTAGTATCGAAGAGGCTTTCATTGTGTTGTTCTACCCACGCTATCAAATGCTTTTTCGTAGTCAATGAAGTTGACGTAGAGTGGTGAATTCCATTCGACCGGTTGTTTCGTAATGATACGTAGAGTTGCTATTTGGTTTGTACATTAATGATCTTTACGGAGTTCTTCCTGTTGGTCTCGAAGTTGGGCGTCTACAGAGTCCTTCATTCTGTTTAACAATACCCTGTTGAAGACTTTTCCCGGTATTGAGAGAAGAGAGAACTATATAGTAAATAGTTAATTTGCAAAATATCAATCCATCGTCTCAAATTTCACTGTTCCTTTGCAAATATCAGTTCATTGTCTCAGATTCCATTGTTTATGCATTTTCATACCAATCGCGTTCTATTTCTGTTCTTTCCTTATCGATCTTCTACTGAAATACATTCTATGCCTGACCATCGTCATATACTACTTATATGGATATAAGTAACACACACCATAATCACTTCTTCACATCAGAACTACATGACTATCTTGAAGTTAATTATTTCAAAGGTGTATTCTAGGAGATTAGTTTTATTTCGTAGATAATATTTTTCACAGATTAATAAAAGACTTTACTTAATTGAACAATAGAATGTAAGTAAAATAACTTCACAATATTTCACTAAAACTGTAGTGAACGAGAACACCAGTCTAAGTAGAATCTGTGATGCCCCTTCCAGCCAAACAAGTTGGTGAAGCCTAGTATACCCTTCTGGAGAGAAACAGGCTACATCAAAGTACGGGTTAACTACCAGGGTTAGAATAGCTGTTTTTACAATCGATTGGAGTTTTCCGAGTAGGGTGCAACCGCGTACAATCCATATACCACTTTCGTGGGTTTTTGCCGTCTTTCGATCCAGAAATTATTGTGCTGTGATACTTTGTGGGTTTCATAATCAGTTTGTGGTTATCAGTTGGGTGGGTGATTCGCCCGATCTCTACCCCCTGGGTTACCGTTCACATTAATTCATAGGACTGAGTCTCACTAACCAGGAGGCACGATAGGAAAGTGTGAGTCAGATTTTGCCTCACATAATCTGTAAATCCATGTGGAAAAAATATCAATTAATCATCTCTGACTTCATTGTTCCCTCATTACCACACCAATCATTCTTTGTTCTCATTCTCTTCTTTTCAATCTTCTTCATCTTCTACCATTAGACATTTCACTTTCGATCAGATGATATATACTACTTATATCTATCGATATCAGTAGTACATACTACAAAAGACACACACACACTAATGTTTTGTTTCTTCTTCTTCTTCTTCTTCTTCTTTTTCTTTTTCTTTTTGTCTCAATAATTTAACATGAATATTCATTTAAAACAACATGTCTTAATTGTGAATAATTCTGCTATTTCAACTGTTCATTTCATTCCATATGGTTTATATTCACATGAATTAGATTTTTATTTTATTATTACATTAAAGTTAACTATACATAAATTGAAATTCACTTATTCACTTTAATTCCTTTAAGTAATTTCATGTCTATTCATATTATCATGATGTTCTATAAAGAAGAAGAAGAAGAAGTAAAAGAAGAAGTAGAAAAACGAAATAAAAAAAGAAGAAAAAAGTAAGAAGAAAAAGAAAAAAAAAGAAAAAATGTCTTACTTATTTCTGTGTCGCTTATAAGTAATACTGATTGTGAGTTGAGAACAGATTCAATATTAGAATAACAGTCGAATAACTAGTAGGGGGGGGGATTAAAATGACTAAGATAAAATAGTTGCTAAAAATTGGGGGAAAAAACGAAGTGGGTGTGTTTTTTTTTTTTTAGGGGGAGGGGTGATAAAATGATAATAACAATTAAAAGAAATCTATCTATCTTTTATCATATAAATGTATATAGAATACAAAAACACTTGCTTTCAAGTGTACATTACAACGATTTAATACTACCATTACTACTACTGTTACTACTACTACTACTACTACTAATACTACTACTACTACTACTACTACTACTACTACTACTACTACTACTACTACTACTACTACTACTACTACTACTACTATTACTACTACTGTTACCTTATATTATATCATTCCAAGTAGAGCATTGTCTATTCCCCTTAGTTTCCCTCTAACTGTGTGTGTGTATGTATAGATTTATCTTAATCTATTTGACTAGACAGTTTTCTTTTTCACTTTTAAAAGAAAAAGTCTACAACACATAAAACTTATCAAACCCCATTTAAAACTTTTCATGAGAAAAACAAGAAAAGAAAACAGTCTCTTTTTGTTGTTGTGGTTGTTGTTGTTGTTGGTCAATTCACTTTCGAATGTTTTTCTTCTTCCTCTTCTTTTTCTTTATGTCAATAAAAATGACTTCATTATTGAATTAAATGAAGATAAAATATAGAAAGGATACATTTAAAACAATTGGACATTGATACATGTGTTTAGTTAGAAATGAAAACAATTTCGTATGAGATTCTCTTTAAATTATCTTAATGTATTTGACAATGATACATGGATACATTTTCTTTTTTTGTTTTTGTTTTTATTATGTCAATTGATGATCATAAAGTTTATAGAATAAATGATGGTTATAATAAAAGTCCATTAAGTTAACAATATAATATTGAATTGTAATTGATTAATCACTGGGTAGTGATCACTGTCATGTGTCTCAGATCCTTCTTAGTGTAGATCGAATTCTATCGACCAAGTTGTATTGTGGCTATTAGTCTAGATGACTCAACATTGTGTGTACTATGTTGAGATAAGATGGTGATTGAAGGTAGTCAACAGAAAACCCTGGACTCTGGTTTCGTGCTAATTGGCATTCGTAAGCAAGGTGTACTTGTATTATTCTTGAGGGAACTGATGTTTCTTGATAGATTCAATCCCATGTCACCCAGCTTCACAGTCGGAGATGTTACTTCTGTTCAATTGTAAAGGGAAAAAAGAAATAAGATTATATAAACTATAGTAGGTACTTAATATAAGACTTGTACTAGAACTCATAGACATTAACTTCCTTATCATCAGAAGTCTTCATCGACATTGAAATGCTGAATAAAAAGCATATGGAAGTTTAGAGGAAGATTTACTTAGAAGATTATGTTGTATACAAGACATGATGATGTTTATAAGAATATATATCAGTTCCAGATTCTGTAAGGTTTAGAAGAACATAATAAAGTTGACAACATACTAATCAAGACAAGTAAAGCATACTCGAAGTCTCCCAAATTCATCCTGAAAATTTGCAAAGATCTCAACATGGTCAGTATATTCCCAGAATTCTTTCTGACTTTGAAAGATCTTTTCGAGAAATTATCCACTATTTCTTATAGTATTCAATGTAAAGAACGTTCAGGATAGTTTTACAAAAAAATATTATGCCATGCGTGCTAGATATTACTGTACGATCAAAAGTGAATCTTTAAAAATATAGAAAATTTTTTTGATTGAGCTCGTGAACTGATTGATGTTAGACCACCATTAAAAAACTGGAAGCACTGGACTGAAGGCTGTGGGTTCGAATCGTGTATGAACACCGTCGGGGAGTCCCACAACAGGACGAAACGGCCGCCCAGTGCTTCCAGGTCTTCACTGGTGGTCTAACATCAATCAGTTCATGATCTCAATAAAAAACATAATAATCTCCACAACCCTATACTGATATCTAAAAAAATTGTTTTAATCTATGTAGAATCATTCTCTGATAATTTCATAGACCCAGAAAATTTGCAAATTTAACTAGTAAACATCGTATATCCGATTATTTAACCACATAATCCAGAATAAATGATTACAGGTTGGTGAAAATTCTGAAAGTTAGAACGGTTTAACTGTCCACAATCTCTTACCATTCTTTAATTTCACAGTTAATGTCACTTCCAATGAAAAAAATTGCCACAGGTATGCAATCATCCCTGAATTATTTTTTCTGGTTAGCGTCATTGGTGAACACGGGGGGTCTGATGTACATGTGAAGGTGTGAATCAGTTAAGCAAGAGCAACATATCTACAATTGAAGAACTTCTGGAGTACAAAAAAACTGTGGCCTATGCTCCACTGGGAGTAACAGGCGTCAGTACATAAGTAATGCAACCATCTACAAATCCTCAGCATGGAGGAGGCTTTCAGGGACATGTAGGAACTGAAAATCAACGTTAGTTATATAACCATTAAAAAACTCACAAACCATGAATTACTGGTTCAGTGATCTAAGGTGAAAGCGTTTCGTACGAGATATTTGATCTCTTGATTAGATCCTTGGTCATAGATATGCATCGCTAAGGAATCTTATGCTACAACAAAACAGATATCCAGTTATTGATTTCAAAATCATCTACAAACTATCTGTTCCAAATGGGTTTTTTTTCATTAATATATTTTTTAAATTTTTAGATTACCGTTTACTTAATATACCATGTGGTGTTTGTGGTGATCGTTCTACTGGAAAGCATTATGGAGTATATAGTTGTGATGGTGAGTTAAAAAAATAATCATGTATGATTGTTTCTACTCGTTTTTTTTTACGAATTTTTCAACCATTTTGTTTGTTATTCATTAAAATAAATCTTGAATTGTAATGTGTGCTATTGATATCGATAGATATAAGTAGTATGTATCATCGATCGAAAGTGAAATGGCTGATGACAGAAAGTTAAGAAGATCGAAGAAAGGAGAGCGAGAACAGAGACTGATTGATGTGGAAACCAAGAAACCATGAATCATGAGACGATTAATATTTTGAAAATGAAGTATCTACTGTATGGTTCTTCGAATTTACTAAGAGATTCTGTAATTTTGTGTTGAAATATATTCGATCGTCCCATTTGTGTTCTCGTTCACTACAGAATGAGGTAATATATTGCATTAATGATTGACAATTTATCTACTATTTAACACAATGAAGATTTCACAGTTCACGTGAATCTTTCTGTCAGTGTCGTGTTTATTGATAAAAAGGGTCCAATTTCACAATTGATTGATCACTGGGTGGTGATCAATGTCATGTGTGTCGGGTCCTTCTTAGTTTAGATCGAATTCTATCGACCAAGTTGCAATGTGGCTGCCAGTTTAGATGACTTGAAATTACGTGCACTATGTTGAGATAAGATGGTGACTGAAGGTAGTCAACTGAAGACTCTGAACTCAGGTTTCGTGCTATTTCATACTCGTCAGTAAGATGTACCTGTAATTTTGTGGGAACTGGTACTCCTTGACGTTGGTTCAGAGTTTGCTGTTGACTGCCTCCAACAACTGTCTTAAAGGTTCACTTTCTAATGCATTTTTTAGCCACTTATTAATCATTGACCTTGTGATTAATTGATCGTCTCCCAGAAAATCTCTAACATAAACAAGTGGGTTACCAATAATGTTGTTTAAAATAACAATGAATTGTTCACTATTTGAACAACAAATCACACAGAACATAATACTAACAAAAATTTTTAAGTTAAAACTTTTGAAAGTTTACATTTAGCTCATTTAAACTATTCAAAACATTCAATTAAACTGTAAATTTTCCCCAAATCCCTGATACGGTCGAGGGTGTAGAGAGTCCATTCTCACATGGTCACGCGTATACAGCCACCACCATGGGACTGAATCTCCAAATGTTGCTCCACTGCCTTGTGGATTAGACTTTTAGGTTGAAGGCTCCAGACGTGGCCTCCTAACAAAACCACCTTCTTCGGTTTGAGCACTCGGGTATTATCACAACCTACACACAAACCAAGTGATTTGTGTGGTGCATATGTATTCAGTGCCCCTATGTACCAAAACTTATATGAAATTATTAACATCATCCAAATAGATCTTGATTCATTCGACCAAACACATTTGTAATGATACCTTCAAGGAATAACAAATCTAAATCTCCATTATACTTCTCATCTCATAAGCAAATTATACTATTATCCCATTAAGTTTATCATTTCTAATTATTTTTTTTTTACAATTCAGGATGTTCTGGATTTTTTAAAAGAAGTATTCACAAGAATCGTTCATATACATGTAAAGCAAGTGGTAATTTAAAAGGTAAATGTACCATTGATCGTCATCATCGTAATCATTGTCGTGCATGTCGATTAAATAAATGTTTTCTAGCACAAATGAATGAAGAAAGTAAGTGCACATTTCCTTTTTGTTTGTTTGTATGTGTGTATATATATAGAGTTTTACTTCTTATACTGTAAGTTATTGTGACACTTAAATGCATAGTTACCCAGTGTTATGGATATCGATCCGTACGTAATAAGAAAAAAACCATTCATAAAATCTAATGAGATGGTTACTAGACAACTATATGACCAAGTTCCAGCTGATCGAATCTACTTTGAGCTATATGATTTTATGTAAAACTTGGTAATAAAACCTGATTATTGATAAGTCTTGCGGATTGAACGCGATATTCATTTCCTAAGCTATTCTGTAACCCTCAAGCTAGAACTATACAGCGACCTGAACACGAGAGAGAAGGTGCAAAGTATGCGAGAAGTACTTTACTCCTAGGTTCATTTTTGTACAGAAAAACACGGTTATTTATAGATGTTAACATTTGTTAAATCAACATCATATTTTGGCCAATCCACTAAAAGACATATTATGCTACTGACCAGTAGTAGCACGCCACGTTGACATTCTAGAAAGCCTCATCATGCTCTGATTGGCTAGGACTCTTCGGCTCCTTTAGGGCCTCTGGAGGCTCCATTACAGTTCTCCGAAAGGCAACTCAACGATTATTCAAACTGAGATAAGTAAAGATACAGTTCGGAACTTTTACTCTTTGGTTTAAATTTGAATGCTTTAAATGTTTAATCATCATTAAACCATGAAGCGACCGAGAGTATAATCACAATTCATTTTATAAAAACTTCTCTTCATGATAAGTTTGCAAAAGATTTCATATCAAATGTAGTTAGTTAGATGATTAAAGGTAATTGAATGATCTTAAATTTCATAATCGCTTACATTTATTAGTACATCTCATCCAAATTCTTCACAGTAATAATCCTTTTGTGAAGACTTGAACAAGAGATTTTGAGTTGTTTCGTTTGATGGCTATATTGTAAATATGATCGATGGATAGTGATTGTCAGTGAGAAATCACTAACTGTTAGGATCGTAGTTACTAAGTCATGAGCAAATACTATTAGTTTATTCGTAGTGTAGTGAACGAGAATACAGACGGGGGACAATCAAATGTATTTGAACATCAAAATTATAGAATCTCTTAATAAGATCAGAGAACCAATCAGTAAATATTTGATCAGCAAAAAAGTCAAACTTGACTGTTCCTTTTGCAAATATCAATCATCAATCGCCTTACACTTCATTGTTCCTGCATTTCCATACCAATTACCTTCTGTTCCGGTTCTTTCCTCCTCGATGTACTTTAACTTCTGCTACCATTCTATTCCTGAATATCGTTATATACTACTCATGTCAATATAAGTAGCACACACCATGTAGCCTAGAAGGATAATAAAAGATTCGTGATTAAGCTATCTGACTTGGGGAAAACACTTTCAATCGAAACCATACACTTGAGCTGAAAATCTTTTCCACCATCTCAAATATATATACAAATCCTATAGATTTTTTGTGATGGTCTTGATGACGTGTTTTTTAACAAAACTTCATGAAGTTAGATTTTATTCTATTTTTGGGATTCTTCAACATACCGGATCATTTCAGACAGGAGTAAATAAGTAAAGATTTTAGTTAGATAAGTCATTTACTTACAGTAGTCCGCTAAAATCCTTACCTTTCACTCATTGCGTAACTTTACAACAGTATATGACTCACTAATGCTTTTCCGGTATAATAAATACAAATTGTAGTCCGTCCAGAAAAGAAGTGTTACTGTGTTTTTGTTATTCCCAAATTAACTATAACACGAATATATTTGATCTACAGTATAGATATATTCCCCCATTTTCATAAGCGATTGAATTTATTCATTAGCCAGTAACTGAATTAACAGATTAATCTAGAACTTGTCAATCTCAAACTTCGTTTCACCCCAAGCCTGTTTTTTTACGCCATGCGCTATGCTACTTAATACTTATCAGTAGTTTGATTAATATTTAGCAATTCATATGACAAATGTGCTGTAATGGATGACGTTTATTTATCACAATAAACTAATCATCTCATCCATTTGTACATTTATTTCTTTATTCTATTTATAATGATACCCTTAATATTTTCATAGTTTCTTATTCTTCGCATATATTATTTACTTACTTACACCTGTTACCCGTCGTAGGGGAGCATAGGCAGCCCACCAGCACTCTCTATCCAACCATGTCTTAGGCAATCCTTTCCATTTGTTTCCAGTCGGTATTCATCCTTTTCATATCTGCTTCTATTTCTCCATGTAGTGTATTTTTTGACCAACGGATATTGAGTATCTTGTGTATGATTTTTTGGAATTTGGTTTATTGCGTACAATTTGTCAATTCTAAAAGCCTTGGGTGATACTCTCGCTTGACATATCTTTATCATTTTTTCTTATTTAAAAGTCTTGTTACAACTTTATTCTTATTCACTGATCTTAAGGACCTAATATAGATGTAATTGAGTCTTGTTAGAGTAAACTATCAACCAGACAGTACATTATTCTTGTGATGGTGGGGAAGATTTGTAGCTCAGGTAGATAATTTAGATGGAGTTTTGTTCTCTGAGCTGAATGGTTTGTTATTTATTTATTTATTTATTTGAACACATAAATATTGGTACAAGAGAGCGCCAATATATATGCGCCACACAAAACAATGGGAATTCGAAGAGAAGTAGAAAGAGAAAAAAAAACAGCTAAGGAACGCAAAAGAAAAAGAGAACAATGACGAAGAGATTGGAGTAAGGTAGTGTGGTAGTAACGACGGAACGAAAAGGTACAATCGGAAGAAATCTTTCAGGTAAGGAAGACACAACCACTTTTTATGAAGAAAGTAAAAGAAGGTTACAGCAGGATCGCCACTGGCTTCTATTCTGAGCCATATCTGATAACGTCTCTAGCTACTGTGTAGCACCATCTCTCGGACCCCAACCAGGGAGTCGTGAAGGACCAACACAAGCCAGTCCTTTGCAGCTTTCTTTCATACCACGACACCATGTCATATACTGACCACCTCTCCGCTTCTTCCAACCAGTCCCAGAGTCGGCAAATAATGCACGACGTGGAATCCTCTGGGACGACATTCGGAGAACATGTCCAAGCCACCGAAGTCGGTGTTTCAAGATGGTGACACCAATTGAATTATCATCTCTGTGCCCGAACACACGATGCCGAACCTCTGCATTACTGACATGGTGTTGCCACTGAATGGTTTGTACATGGAACTCCCATTGTTCTTTTGAAAAACATCATTAGTACATACTTCAAATAGAAGTAAAGTGTTTGAATTTCTCTACATATGACTCACAGCTCATCCTGTTAACCTCGATCTTGATTGATTCTTTTTAACCTTTAACCTGTCATTCTTCACTTCTTTATTTTGATTATATCTTCTATTGATCTGATTCTTGGTCCTATATTTGTTCACGATTTTTCTAATTGGTTCAATTTCAATGTGTTTGTTGATGGATCTGAGTGAAAATCTTCTGAAAATTCTCTACTATTTTAGAATTCCCTCTATCCAAGATCTCAACGTTTTCTCAGTCGAATGTGCATCCACAGTTGTCCACATGGATTGATGTAAGAGAGAATATGTCATAGCGTTTAACTAATAGTTTATGTTTGTACAGCTGAAGAGGAATAACGACGTCAAGTTTGTCCAATGTAGTATTTTTCACAATTGCAACAATTTATTTTATAGATGATATTCGATTTTTCTTCTTTTGTTAACGTTGACTATTAATAAGACAGCTCAGTTATCAAAATCTTTCTAAATTCATTCATATTGCTCTAGTTTGATTTCTGTAATAGAACTGTAATTAAAACAAAGCTGTCTCGCTTGAGATTCAAGACATTTACGGTTTACTCCATCTATACACACATAGAGTGCATGAATGATGATGATGATGCATTAGTAGTTTTACAAATGATTGTTTCATCCTTAAGTGACACTCATCAACAGTGCACATTCATGAAATTGTAAACAGGAATCAAAACTTTTATATTTGTTAAATTTATATTCTATTACCAAGGACAAATGAGTTACGTAAGAAATTGAATACAAATTTTCTATAGTATATATTCACTAGTATTATTTAGTAGTAATAAACAATATAAGCTTTGAATTCATTTGCTATTGTTTATTTGAATCTTCCCATTGATGTTTAAAACTGCGAGTGATCAGTCTCTTATTGATATATGTGCATATTGTACGGATTGTTTCGATATTGTCTTAATTCATACTCTAATTGAATAACGCGACGGCATTTGAAGCGAACGGTGCTGGGTTCGAGTCCCGGAGTGAACATTAAGTCAGATGCAGGTACATCCAGTTGACGAGTCCCAAATAAGGCGAAACGCGCAGCCTGGATTCTACTACTAGCCACCATCCATCTTTGATTATAATTAAGTTTTGATTGAAATGAATGAACACAACTGGACTGAAATAATAGAAGTATTGGATTAACAACAGATTTAGACCCCTTTGTGATTGAATTGGATTTATATTGATGCTTGGCACTTAAAAACACCAGTAATTGTGTTAGAATAAAAATAACACTGATAATCAAATAACGAGCAATTGTATTGTAGTGAAACAAATACAGGACTGCATTAGACTGATCTAATCTATATTGTATTGGAATGAATACAAACTGTTGAGAGAATCAATTAACCAGTGTACTTCAGGTATTTATACATCAATACAGTAATAGAATTGAATTAACAAATGAATGGATAGACAGGTAACCAGACAAATGAATATTAGGAAGATTTACATATAAGGAGTTAACCAATGGTGTTAAATAAATGTATTTGATAGTTATATTCTCAGTTGGATAATATATTTTAAAATGAGTATACAATTACGTTGATTTAACATATATGTATTATAATCACAGATGGGTTTTGTGGAGAATGTAGTAATTTTCTAATAATTGAATTCATGAATCAGTTGAAGTTAGATCATCATGGAAAACCTGGAAACACTGGATGACCGTTTCATCCTAGTATAGGACTCCTCAACAGTGCACATCCACGAACCCGCTCCCTGAGATTCGGAACCAGGGTGTTACGTCCCGAGAAACATAATGAATGGTAACTTTGAGATCCTTTTATGGACAACTACTTAACGTGTATTTTTATTGTATAATTGTTAAGTAACTAAACTATTAATATTCCTCTTATTATAAACTTTATTTTGACTTATGAACCATTATTATACGTTTTGCCATTCTTGAATTATGCCCTGTCTATTAATTACTACCTCCCTCATTTATAGCCACATTTGGCTAATTCTTGTACAAATGTTGTTTTCTATTTTATGGTACGATGTGGTCTGTTTGGTTTGTATATAAACTCAGTATGTTTGAAATATAAGGATTCATATTGCAGAGGCTGAGACTGGTGTTCTGGACTTAACTGGCTGGGCTAGGCGGAAAGCAGGACCAATCAGGACTCTAGGCTGTTCATATGTGTTTTACTCGTCCTTGGTTAAATCGATAATCCGCTGCTTCTGACTGGCGGCTTTGGGCTATAACACATGGCCTATCAGTCTCGTGAGCGGACGTTTAACCTCTAAGCCACTAAGCCGGAATCCAACGGTGTTAATGTCAGGTTTTCAATAGTTTTCTAACTGTGAATAGCTAATGGTTCTAATGAAATTCAATAATCTCCTTAGGCAATCATTAAAGATTTAAAAAAATAGAAGAGTTATTTTATTCAATTAGAATGTATTGAATACTTGGAACCCATTAATCCTATCAAAACTTAAACACAAAACTTCTTGGACACATAGCTAAGATATCTATGATGTAAACTACTTTCAAATTAAAAAAACTTTCTAAAAATATTTAATCTTAAGAAAAATAAACATAATATTATTGTTATCTTATATATATTTCTAGGTGTTCAACATGAACGTGGACCAAGGAAACCCAACAACACCAACAACCATAGTAACAACCGTAGCAACAGCAATAACCATAGCAACAATGAAAATTTTCTATCAACAATAAAATCTACAATAGAATCTATAAATAAATCAAATGATGATTATCCATTAAATCTTTCTATGAATCATAATCATTTAATCACTAATAATAATAATAATGATAATATTGATTTCAATGATCGAATAAAAAATCAATATCTAATCAATAAATCATTGAAATGGAATCCATTAAATATGGCGCCAAATGTTTTATATGAAAAATATAATTTAAAATTATTGATTAAATTATTAAATCATTTTGATATAAATAAACAAACATTGAATGATTTAATCAATAATCAGAATAATAATCATAATAAAATTAATCAATATTATTTAAATAATCAATTAAAAATGAATCAATATATAATGAATATTGATCAACAATATCAATATAAAAATCATATTGATTATTTATTATTAAATAATTGGTTATTGACAATCTTTCAATCTTCTGATATAATCAAGAATGGTGAAAATCAATTGACAACAGATTATTATTTAAATTTATACAAACATTTAAAAGAAGGTATGTTTTTAATAGAATAATTAGAAATAGTGGTGGTGGGAGGTGTTATGTGAACCATCTTAGAAAACCTGAAGGTATTAGATGATTGGTTTCGTTATAGTTAGGGGCGGCCAAACCAAAACTTGGCATCAGTACTTGAAGTCACTAACTTCTAGTCTGAGCCATGTTGGGAGATGCAGACTACTTGGTTAGGATCTGCGTGACTATTGTAACCAATGGTTGGAGACTCTTAGTGACATGGCTCAGAATCGATCACAATGGTGTCGGTGTATACACTCTCAGTCTTCTCTTAAACCGTAAGATTAAAATCGCTTCATATCCTTCTTTCTACGAACTAATTCTTTCTTCCTGTACTATATCCGTAGATGCAATCTTTCTTTTATATATTACCACCTCTGAATTAACTACTTTTATGAATCCTGTGTTCATCTTCTTGTGTTAATGAGGTATGGCAACTTTGATCGATGAGTATATGTGCCTGGTCCTACGTTGTAGCTGACTGACTGACTATAGTTAGGGGATTCATCAATAGGGTTTATTTATGATTATGTATGTGGGACTCGAATTCAAGATATTCAATCTCGTATGTGAATGTTAAACTGTTGAATATTTACTCAATGATTTAGTAGTTAAATGCTCGAATGTGACATTGAAAGTTTGGGTTTGGATGTCATGTAAGGGATTGTGTGATTGTGTACTATTGAGGAGTACCATACTAGAACGAAACAGACGTTCAGTGCTTTCAAGTTTAACAATAGTGGTCTAACTTAGATTGATTCATGAATTCAATTGTTAAAATTTTAAATTACACGAATATAAGTACTGGATTTGATTGTTAACCACTATCCAAGGTATTATCAACTTGTAAATGTTAATAATATCAGGATATAATTCATGATTGTACGCAGTCTAAGAAAAATCTTGGATCCAGTTTTCATGACAATTAACATTCATCAACAATCAGATCTGTAATCTTGAGGCAACTGACTCTCTTCGAGGGATTCGAACCTAGATCACTCAACTAATAGAAAAGCTTGATCTATGGTTTTCTATGCTTCACGTTCAATCACAAAGCATTAAAACAATGCATGGAGTGTTGAGTCAATTAGACTACAAGTCATATTACAATCTGATCGATCAATACCAATCAATGTCAAAAGAGCTAAACAACCATGACAATGGTCATTCACTCAGAGACTAATTAGTGTGAGAATAAAGATATTATTGCATTAATTACCTCATATTATCAAAGGACTTACTTAATTACGCCTGTTACTCCCAGTGGAGCATAAGCCACCGACCAGCATTCTCCAACCCACTCTGTCCTCGGCCTTCTTTGCTAGTTCCATCCAATTCTTGTTCATTTTTCTCATGTCTATTTCCATTTCCCGGCCTAATGTGTTCTTTGGCCTTCCTCTTTTCCTTTGGCCTTGAGGATTCCATGTGAGGGCTTGTCTTGTGATGCAGTTGAGTGCTTTCCTCAATGTGTGTCCTATCCACTTCCAGCGCTTCTTCCTGATTTCTTCCTCCGCTGGAATCTGGTTTGTTCTCTCCGCAGTACGTTGTTGCTAATAGTGTCCGGTCAACGGATCCGAAGTGTTTTGCGTAGACAACTGTTGATAAACACCTGTATTTTCTGGATGATCGCTTTCGTAGTTCTCCAATTTTCCGCCCCATACAGTAGAACTGTCTTGACATTTGTATTGAAAATCCTGACCTTAGTGTTGGTTGACAGTTGCTTTGAGTTCCGTATATTCTTCATTTGTAAGTATGCCACTCTTGCTTTGGCGATCCGCGCCTTCACATCTGCATCAGATCCACCATGTTCATCAATGGTGCTGCTCAAATATGTAGAGGTTTTTAAATCTTCCAAATCGTCTCCGTCAATTGTGATTGAATTGGTGCATGCTGTGTTGTACGGGAGAGTCTTGCTTTTCCCTTTGTGTATATTGAGACCTACTGCTGCTGAGACTGCTGCTACACTGATCGTCTTCTCCTGCATTTGTTGTTGTGTGTGCGATAGAAGAACCAGATCATCTGCAAAGTCTAAATCATTCAGCTGCATCCTATCTGTTCACTGTGTCCTGTGCTTCCCTTCAGATATTGACGTCTTCATGATCCATTCGATTATAAAAAAAACAGTTATTCATAATTCTCCAGTTACAATAATAATAATAATGAAAGTGTAGAAATACAATTACATTTACAATTAGTAGTTGATCATCTCTCTTTCTCTTTTTGTTTTCTCTTTCTACACAGCTCTTTTATCGAAAGTAAACAATCCCTTAATATCTGTTAATCAAGATAATAATCATTTAGATTTAAATACAAATTTATATTTAGAGAATAAAACAATGAAACATACTACTCAAATGAATTGGATAGATTTTATAAAATTAAATGAATGGAATAAAACAGAAATTGGTATACAGATTATGATGAATATGATTAAATGGATATTGAA